GCACTGCTTCATCTTCTCCTGTTTCAGCCACTTGGGCCCGGAGGGGCTTCCTCAGCCCCAGTGGCGGCACTGGCAGAGGGTAAAGGCTGTGACTGTGGGGCAGTTTTAAGGCAGGACAAGTTTCGATCAACATGACCCACTTTGGATTCACACCCTAAGTCTTCCTAAGATGACAGAAACCCTGAATATCTCACCATATTTCCACTAATGCAAGGCACTCTGAAATAGCATTTGGGCTTAAGGACTCCATAAACCCTTTGGATATCTCAACCTCAGAGGTGGAGGATGGCCCTGCTATATTAGGCCCTATATCAATACCCAGAGAGATGAAAGACATTACAATCTCTGGAAACAAACCTGGAGTTCAACTTACCTCAACTAAGTTGAGCTCAACTAAGTTGGATAAGAGCCTTTAAGCATTAAAACTTATTTAACATATGCTAGATTTTGAGGAACAAAATTTTAGCTGAGGTAAGTCAGCAGAGCTCGTTAAAGTTGGTGGTTAATCTGACCCCAGGATGTAACCTTCAAATATGGCAGGGGAGGGGAAAAAAAAAAAATAAAAAAATCACACTGGCTTGAGTACCAGAAACACTACAAACACAATAACCTAAGGAAAAGGTCAGATTAGAGTATGTTTTCATGATGTGAGCTGAAACCCATTGCTAAAAGGGGACAGTTTCACCCTGTGAGCCCCTGGGATGATTCCCCCTTGGAGTCGGCTCTCATCTTACTGCAACCAACCTCATTCAACACACTGAACTGATGAAAACTGATTTGAGGGATTGGAGCCTTACAAGGAAAGGCTGAGAGAGCTGGGACTCTTTAGCCTGGAGAAGAGAAAGCTGAGGGGAGACCTTATTGTTGCTTACAAGTATCTAAAGGGTGGGTTGAAGGAGAATGGAGCCACACTCTTCTCGGTGGTTCCCAGTGACAGGACAAGGGGCAATGGGCACGTTGGAACATAGGAAGTTCCGTTCCAATACATGGAAAAACTTCTTTACGGTTCGGGTGAGAGAGCACTGGCACAGGCTGCCCAGGGAGGTTTTGGAGTCTCCTTCTCTGGAGATTTTCAAGACCCGCCTGGATGCAGTCCTGAGTAATGTGCTCTAGGCAATCCTGCTTTAGTAGGGGAGTTGGACTAGATGATCTCTAGAGGTCCCTTCCAACTCTGAAAATTCTGTGATTCTGTGAAAACGCACATCTTTGTGGCCAGGGCTGGTCAGCTGATGAATTAAATCTCCTTACTGCATGACCAGGTCACCACCAGGCCACTGGCTGTGGGGGAGCAGCCATAGCATGCCGTGGCCGGCCGTCACCTCCCAGCAGAGAGCACAGGGCTGGGCGGCTTCCTCCCTCTGTCCTCCCTAATTCCCCAAGAAGCACAGCTCAGCTACAGTGTTTTCTCTGGCCAAAGGCAAGCTCTAATGGGCTAATTGGCCTCAAAAGAGGAAAATACATGACCACCATCCTAGCTCCTCCAGAGCGCCAGATTTACAGGCCCCCCTCAGGCTGGAACAGGCTCTATTTCTTTGTAAATCAACCTGTTCTGCTGGAGACTCAGTGATTGAGTTAGCATCTCCCGTATGCTTCAGCTTTGCTCCAAACGCTCGTGTAATGTCTCCATCGTGGGAATACAAGCAACCTGTAAGATCTCTCCACCACAGTCCCATTTACTCCGGAGAGCTCTGCTGCCATTTCAGAGGTTAGTCCCACGTTGGGAAGGGGGACAGGAGCTCGGGGAGCTCAGTACCAGTGCAGCCGTCATCTCACGTGAGACCCAGCTCTGGGAAAAAACAATGCCACGAGCTCTGCTAGTGGACTCAGTACATTTCCTCTGTTTTTAAATATAGTCCTTCCTGATCTTTTGTTATTGCACACAGCAGGATTAAAAGACAAAACTGTCAGTTTGCGTTGACCAAACCCTGTCACTGATTTCATGACATCATTTTACTGGCTGACATTGTCTTGGCATCTTAGCTAAGTACTAAAACACCTTGTTACTGTTCTTTATCCGTTGGCCACACTAGTTGGACTACATCATTAGGGTTACTGAATTATTTTCTGTCTCAGATTCATCCCAGTTTATGAGTTAATGCTTGACAAGAAACTCCCCTAATGAATTACATTTTGCTGGGAGGGGAATGAACAAATTGCCAAAGACAACTTTCTGGTTACTTTGTGTATGGCAGTTCTACATCCGAAAGTAAACTCCCAAATACCAGGTTCCGTCCCGCCCCCCTTTCTTTTTTTTAATATAACTACAAGCTTGGCCAGTCTTCGTTTTCTCTGTATCATAAAAACAAGAATCAGTTTAGGGGAGTTTTTCCTTATTTTCTTTAAAAGAAATGGTAAAAAGAAATCCTGCATGTGTGTTTTGGGTTTGATTTTTTTCATAGGCCCAGTTCCACACTGGTGTAACTCCTGTATTAACTAATGGAAATCTATTACGTCTATAAAACGTGAATATCAAACCAGTTTATTGCCAGTTCAGGGAATACAACTATTCTCATATTGAAAAATTAAGTCAACAAAAGGGAATGAGTTCATCTGAATTAAAATTACTGCTGCGTAAAATAAAGTAAGAGGCAAAAAACCCACTGAGAAAACACTTTGGGACGAATACCTATGTGAATTACAGAGCGAAAATAAAATACGCCCTGTCACTTTCCCTGTGGCCCAGACTTCCAAACAGGCAAAGCCACGTAGATTTATGATCATTTCTCTCCATGCTCATTATTCGGACACACAGAGGTAACATGCAGCAGGATCTATCCCTTTTTCATTACTTCAAGGTCAATAAGAGGAGACGGCTGGCTGGCTGAGGAGATTACTACCGATTATTCCCTCGCCAGCCCTCCATTTCTTTCCTGCAGCCAAAACCGCAGGAGAGAAAAGAGGGCTCAGTTGCTGTGAGGCCGAACTGAGGCTTCAGCTGACTGGCTTTCCACAGGGCTGTGGTTCAGAATGACCCTCTTCCTTCTTGCTGGCTTCCACCATGCTGAATGAAGGCATTAACGAGCGAGTTCGCAGGCTGGCCTTAACTGCAGCAGGCACGACCCAGAAGCATCCCCTTTCTCTGCCCCGAGTAACCAGAGCCTAGATTTTTGCACAGGCGGGGAGGGATGCTAACCTGCCCCCCGGCTGCAGCACAAACCGTACCTGGACGGTGGCTGGCAGACTACCTCCGCCTCTCCGAGGCTTTCTGAAATAACTGCTTACTAAAATTACTTCATTTCTAAAACTTGAAAAAAGCAGGATGAGCAGTGAAAGAGAAAATACGCCTAAAACATAAATCACTTTGGTAATTAGCAGGTAGGTACAGCATGAAAAAAACCCCGCAGAAATTTACAGTCATACAGCAGCTTGCTAGACATCTCATATGACATACACCCTCTATACATTGTGCAGAGATCAGCACAATTCTCCACTCTAATATAACAACATTTAGATTACAGACTGGTAGCTACACAACATCACACAGCCTGGCTGTGAGAAAAGAGCAGGGTAAGAAGCAGTGAATGACAACACATTATCCACCACAAACTGAACTTAGGTAGCTGAAAAAATCAGTACTTAATTGGACCAAAACTGTTACTATCACATTTCCCCTGGGAGAAGGAATATATAAGGCATAAACTTTGCACCTTGAGACTTAAATGCAATTCATATGAATGCTTTATACAGGGGGTGGGGTGGGGTAGTTTTTACGAAAAATTCATCCAGCTGCTGCGCAAAACATACCATTTATGAATTAATAGGAACTAGTTTTGTAGGAACTCATTGGAATGAACCATTTTCTTTGCAAACTGTGCAACTGTCTACACAGCCATGGGAGCAAAGCAACTGCAGAAAGACAATGTGAAAAATACTATGCCTATTTATTACTATGGCACTCATGTTTAGGAGGCAAAAGCAGCAAGTCTTAGAGTCAGCTGCCCTGAGGATCATTTACGCTCCTGGAAATGCACAACTGGTAGAACATAAAATACAATTTTAGTCAAGAAAGCCTGAAGGCTACTATTATTTATACTAGACATTTATGATCTTCCAGAAGTTTACTTACATGTCTAAACAAAA